TTATTATTATTATTATTATTATTATTATTATTATTATTATTTGACTGTTCTCCAGAACTACATTGATTCTTGATTTGGAGCTTTCCCTTTTCCTCTTGCTAACACATATTCAAGAAATCTCTTTCCTTTCCTTTCTTAACCTTTAAGTTTCAAGTTAACTTATCATTTATACCAGTGTTCCATATTTCATTTTGCAAAGGCCAGCTTCTTTACTGGTGAGTCTCTGCCCACCTTCCCTGAAGGAATTCAAGCTGACCTGCCCGTTGGCTCCTCCTCCTCCAGGAGGTCACCCCGAGAGCGAGGCCAGGCCGAGGTCGTCCAGGCGGCTGCGCATCAGGTCCTTTAAGTTTCAAGTTAACTTATCATTTATACCAGTGTTCCATATTTCATTTTGCAAAGGCCAGCTTCTTTACTGGTGAGTCTCTGCCCACCTTCCCTGAAGGAATTCAAGCTGACCTGCCCGTTGGCTCCTCCTCCTCCAGGAGGTCACCCCGAGAGCGAGGCCAGGCCGAGGTCGTCCAGGCGGCTGCGCATCAGGTCCTGGGTCTCCCTGTCTTAGTCCAGTAGGGAAGCCGCCAAACCCTGTTGGCGGTTGTGCAGACGAACCCGCCGGCCTCGGGGAAAGTGCCGTTTGGGCCACTGCCAGGCCGAGGAGTCGCCTTCTGCCCAGAGGGCTGAACCACCCTTTCCTTTCCTCCAGGGAAGTATTTAAATGTGGTCCGGGAATGTGGCCATGACGTCACCTGCCCCGTGGCCAAAGAGGTCATCTACACCCTGAAGGAGCGGGAATACGTGGAGCAGATCGAGAAGGCCTACAACTACGCGAGCAAAGTCCTGCTGGATTTCCTCTTGGAGGAGAAGGAGCTCGTGGCCCACCTCAGGTGGGCTTGGCGACCGACCGGGAAGGATGGGGGAAAGGGGGGTTTTTCTCCAAGGGTGGTTTTGCACACCAGGGTACCCTTCGTCGCTGCCTGATGGAGCTTTTGATTTGCGGTGCTGATTGCTAAAGAACTGAGCCAGTGCTCGGGGGCTCTGGNCGCGCCCTGCTTTCCCTTGAAGGCTCTCAGGCCTCTTGGGTGACAGGAAGCCAAGGTGTCTGCAGTTTCTGCTCCTCCCGCCCTGTCCTGCCCTGTCCCACCTTGCCCTCCCATGTGCGGTGCTTGCGAGGAAGATCTGTCCAGGGTTGGCCACCATCGGAGGAGGGAAGAGCTCCCTCGTTGGCCATGCCTCTCGGGTCTCTCAGAAGTGCTGTGTCTGCTGCTTCAGGGTGCCACATTTTAAGAGAAGCATCCACCGTTCTCCTCTTGGAGGCCCTCGGGCGGTTGTGGGGGGCGGGCTCCTGTGCCCGCTCCGCCCCTCTGATGCACCCCAGGAAGGCAGCTGCCCTGCAGTGGGGAGGGGAGACCCAGCATCCTAGGCATTTAGCGCTCTGGTATCGAAGGCTCTGAATCACGGGGCGGGGGCGGCGGCGGGGCGTGAGAGAGAGCTCTGTAGGCGGAGGCAGTTCCCCACTTTTTTCCAGACATGTCTGAGTTGATGAAGATTACTGGTGTGTTTGTGAACCCAGTCCTTGGTAATTTTCTCAGCGCTCAACGAGCTGACCGTGTTTGGGGCGGGGCTGTTCACAAGCAGGGGGCTGTGTCTGCAAGAAGGCAGCTGGGGTGGTGAGAAGGCCGGAGGCCGATACCATCTGCTGGGGGGAACAGCTGGAAGAACAACGGGGCCTGTTCCTTCAGGGAAGGAAGCCCTTCCTGGCAGGGGCACGGCGGTGGCTCCTCACCTTTTGATGGAGGGCTGCCATGTAGACAGTGGAAGGGGGTCTTTGCCTGCGGCTCTGTTATAGGGCAGGGTGATAACCAAGGCAGGGGGTGGGAGTGGCAGGGAGGGAGGGAAGGAGGGAGGCTGCTTTCTGCCAGTCACCAAGGTGGGTTGGGCTCTGTCTGGCCCCTTCCTGCCTTGTGCCGTTGCCATTCTCTGTTAGAGGCCCAAACTAGCAGCTCTCCTTTGGTTGGCAGGTCAATCAAGCATTACTTCCTGATGGACCAGGGTGACTTTTATGTCCATTTCATGGACCTTACGGAAGAGGAGCTGAAGAAGCCGGTGGACGATATCATTCCCACTCGACTGGAGGCTCTACTTGAGCTGGCGTTGCGGATGAGCACGGCAAACACAGACCCATTCAAAGATGACTTAAAGGTGAGTTGCATTTTAAAACTTTTTTTATTTAAAATATTTTATTCCATCTTTCTTCTTGGAAGGACTCAATATAGCTTCCATCATTAAAAAGACAGTACAGTGGTGCCTTGCATAACGATGTTAAGTGGTTCCAGAAAAAAAAACGTTATGTGAAAACATCGTTATGGGAAGCACCATTTCCCATAGAAATGCATTGAAAACCGGTTAATCCGTTCCAACTGGAACGGATTATCCGGTTTGTTCCCTCCCCCCCCCCCAGCCTGTCCCCGCCGCTTAAAACCTCCTTGCGCCCCCCCCCCCCCCCGTTCTGCTGCCTATTCCATCTTTCTTCTTGGAAGGACTCAATATAGCTTCCATCATTAAAAAGACAGTACAGTGGTGCCTTGCATAACGATGTTAAGTGGTTCCAGAAAAAAAAACGTTATGTGAAAACATCGTTATGGGAAGCACCATTTCCCATAGAAATGCATTGAAAACCGGTTAATCCGTTCCAACTGGAACGGATTATCCGGTTTGTTCCCTCCCCCCCCCCCAGCCTGTCCCCGCCGCTTAAAACCTCCTTGCGCCCCCCCCCCCCCCCGTTCTGCTGCCTATTCCATCTTTCTTCTTGGAAGGACTCAATATAGCTTCCATCATTAAAAAGACAGTACAGTGGTGCCTTGCATAACGATGTTAAGTGGTTCCAGAAAAAAAAACGTTATGTGAAAACATCGTTATGGGAAGCACCATTTCCCATAGAAATGCATTGAAAACCGGTTAATCCGTTCCAACTGGAACGGATTATCCGGTTTGTTCCCTCCCCCCCCCCCAGCCTGTCCCCGCCGCTTAAAACCTCCTTGCGCCCCCCCCCCCCCCCGTTCTGCTGCCTATTCCATCTTTCTTCTTGGAAGGACTCAATATAGCTTCCATCATTAAAAAGACAGTACAGTGGTGCCTTGCATAACGATGTTAAGTGGTTCCAGAAAAAAAAACGTTATGTGAAAACATCGTTATGGGAAGCACCATTTCCCATAGAAATGCATTGAAAACCGGTTAATCCGTTCCAACTGGAACGGATTATCCGGTTTGTTCCCTCCCCCCCCCCCAGCCTGTCCCCGCCGCTTAAAACCTCCTTGCGCCCCCCCCCCCCCCCGTTCTGCTGCCTATTCCATCTTTCTTCTTGGAAGGACTCAATATAGCTTCCATCATTAAAAAGACAGTACAGTGGTGCCTTGCATAACGATGTTAAGTGGTTCCAGAAAAAAAAACGTTATGTGAAAACATCGTTATGGGAAGCACCATTTCCCATAGAAATGCATTGAAAACCGGTTAATCCGTTCCAACTGGAACGGATTATCCGGTTTGTTCCCTCCCCCCCCCCCAGCCTGTCCCCGCCGCTTAAAACCTCCTTGCGCCCCCCCCCCCCCCCGTTCTGCTGCCTATTCCATCTTTCTTCTTGGAAGGACTCAATATAGCTTCCATCATTAAAAAGACAGTACAGTGGTGCCTTGCATAACGATGTTAAGTGGTTCCAGAAAAAAAAACGTTATGTGAAAACATCGTTATGGGAAGCACCATTTCCCATAGAAATGCATTGAAAACCGGTTAATCCGTTCCAACTGGAACGGATTATCCGGTTTGTTCCCTCCCCCCCCCCCAGCCTGTCCCCGCCGCTTAAAACCTCCTTGCGCCCCCCCCCCCCCCCGTTCTGCTGCCTATTCCATCTTTCTTCTTGGAAGGACTCAATATAGCTTCCATCATTAAAAAGACAGTACAGTGGTGCCTTGCATAACGATGTTAAGTGGTTCCAGAAAAAAAAACGTTATGTGAAAACATCGTTATGGGAAGCACCATTTCCCATAGAAATGCATTGAAAACCGGTTAATCCGTTCCAACTGGAACGGATTATCCGGTTTGTTCCCTCCCCCCCCCCCAGCCTGTCCCCGCCGCTTAAAACCTCCTTGCGCCCCCCCCCCCCCCCGTTCTGCTGCCTATTCCATCTTTCTTCTTGGAAGGACTCAATATAGCTTCCATCATTAAAAAGACAGTATTTAAAAACTAAAAATAGTTAGTATATAAATATTTTAAAAGAATTGAACAAGTATACAAATGAGTGAGTTTCATCCAGTCAAAAGAGGGGAGGAAAGTGTTCTGAAGGCCGAAGTAGAAGCGCCCAGGCTTGCTTCTCCGTCATGGAGGGCTAGCGGTAGTTTGTGCACCTCTGCATGTCTTATATCTCAAAAGTGCCAGTGGAAGGAAGCCTGCGCTGGGCTCACTGCCATGGGTGTGGGCAAAGGGGGGACCGGCTGCCTTGAGGCTCTTCAGGGACAGAAATGGAAACTCTCAAAGCCACAACAAATGATAGTGTCAGTATAGACTTATAGAAACACCCAATTGCCAAGCTGAACTCTGCAACTCCTAAAACCTGTGTGACATTTGTTTCAGATGTTCCCACCCCGCATAACGAGCAATTCATTTAACGACGAATCTGCATAGCGATGAGGTTTTTGCGATCGAAAAAGCGATCACATAACGATGTTTTAAATGGGTAAACATTGCTTTGCGATGATCGGTAAGCGCTTCGCTTACCGATTATCGCATAACGATGTTTAAAAAGCTGATTGGCAGTTCCAAAATGGTCGCCAGAAAAAATGGCTGCCCGCAGCGTTTTTGCACCCTTTCCTCACTTACCGGGCAGCGAAAATGGTGGCCGCATGGAGGATTTTCGCTTTAAGGTGAGTTTTTTTCCCCATAGGAACGCATTAAACGTGTTTTAATGCGTTCCTATGGGGATTTTTGCCCCGCATAGCAACGAATATGTATAGCGATGATTTTTTTGGAACGGATTATCGTTGCTATGCAGGGCACCACTGTATTCTCTACTTGGAAAACCCTGAAAAGGATCTCTGTAAATCTGAATTGACTTGTCAACACATTTCTTAAAAAGTGTTGGAACTTTTTGTGTTAGCTGCTATAAGTGCTCGTTTTGGGAGAAAGGGAAGATGTACATCTTTTGTATTTCTTCAGTGGATAATTTCACTTATTACCATAAATTACAGGGTTGAATGGTTCCCCTTTTGCAGCCAGAGTGATGAAGAGTCTGGTGGAGCTGTAAAGGCCTGCACATTTTATTCTACCTGAGCTTTTGTGGAGTGCAGGCTGTGTGACCTGGCACTTCAGCAATCTGGTTGGCGCAAGAGGAAAAGCAGCAGTCCTTTGACAGAGTCCCCAGCTGCCCCTTTGGCCTCCAGTTGTGTTGCAGAAATCCAACTGGGGCGATCTTTTTATTGCCCCCCATTTGAATGTATTGAACTCTGCATGGAGAAGACCAGGATTAGGGAAGGCCAGCCATCTGGAAGAAGGGCAAAACCTCAGAGCCCAAGGAGTGACCGAATCGGGGCGGCCAACCGTCTCTGTGCCCTCTTTCGTACAGGATCTTCAGTGCCGCTGTCTTGCAGACCCCTCCTCAGAGCCCAGTGTAAGGCGCCCTTTACTGACTTCGAAATGGCACCACTTCTTCCCATGTGAAAGTTGCCCCAGTTGGGTTTTTTAAAAGCTTTTTGTGGTCATTTCTTTCGACTCCTGGACTCTTAGCTGGCTAGTGATTTGCGGCCCCACAGACTGACTGCCAGGCCTCTCTCACCTTGCAGGCTGTCCTCTTTCCTCTCATTGTCTCTTTGCAGATTGACCTGATGCCTCATGACCTCATCACGCAGCTCTTGCGGGTTCTGGCCATTGAAACGAAGCAAGAGAAGGCGATCATCAATGCGGATCCCACGGAGCTCTCTCTCTCAGCGGCCTAGAAGCCTTTTCCTTTGATTACATCGTTAAGTGGCCCCTTTCTCTCATCATCAACAGGTAAGCAGAAGGCAAGGAGAGGGCTCTCGCCCGAACCCATTCACACATGATAGCCATGTTGAAATATTTGAAGGGATGTCATGTCGAGGAAGGGACAGGTTTGTTTTCCAGGGCTTCAGACACTAGAACAAGGAGCAATGGTTTCAAACTATGGGAGAAGAAATTCCACCTGAATATCAGGAAGAATGTCCAGATGGTCAGAGCTGCCTGGCAGTGGAATATCCTGCCTCGGAGGGGGGATGGAGCGTCCTCCTTTGGAGGTTTTTAAGCAGAGGCTGGATGGCCATCGGTCAAGAGTGCTTTGATGGAGTTACTGCATTTTGGGGGGAGGGGCTTGGACTCGATGGCCTCTGTGGTCTCTTCTGAGTCTGTGGTTCTATGATTGCTGTCTGTGTCATAATGGATTCCACAGCTGTTAAGCAGTCCTAGCAGCCAGTTGCAGGATTTCTGCGCAACCCTGGCGGAACACCATCTCCTGAGCCTCTGTCCTGGGCGGTATACAGAGATCGCCACCCTGCCTTCTCCAGCTCAAAGCCACCGAGAACAGGCAGCCCATGCCCAGCTACGCCCAACCCTAACCCTCTGCAGCCGCAGCAGCAGCAGCAGCAGCCGCCCTCTGGGATCCAGCCACTCTGCACTGCTCTCCTTGTGTCTGACTTTCAGGAAGGCCTTGACGCGCTACCAGATGCTCTTCCGGCACATGTTCTATTGCAAGCACGTGGAGCGCCAGCTGTGCAACGTCTGGATCAGCAGCAAGGCGGCCAAGCAGAGCTCGTTGCACTCTTCGAAATGGTGGGTGAGGAGACAGGCCGGCAGGAGGCAGCTCTCCAGCCCAGCCCCCTCTTCCCAGGCCCTTGGTATGTGGGGTGGGGGGGGGAAGGGTTGAGGCCAAAGTCACGATTGGGTCAGTGTTTGCTCAGCCCTTTCCTCTCCCTGGTAAACCAGCTCACAGACCAAGAGGCCCTTCAGTCCGTGGGGAGGGTTACGAAGAAAAAAAACTCCTTTGGCAGCCCCCCTCTGATCCAGCCGTGGGCCCACGGAGCTCAGCCTGGACAGCACTGACAGGCAGGCAGCCTGCCTGCCTCTCCAAGGGGTTTGTGAGGGTGTCCTGCCCACCCTCTCCTGGAGAGGCTGCTTGGGGTGGGGGTCCTGGATCGTCCATGTGTGTGTGTGTATGCAACCGGTCCTCTCTTGCCAAGCTCTTCTGTAGCAGTTGTGCTGGCCACGTGGGTCCCCAAAAACTCCTTCAGCGGAGAAGAGTTTGCTGTCCTTTCTGTAGATGCTTCCCTCCTGCTGTGCCGGCCCCACTCCTCCCTTCCTGCTCTGCCCCCCCCCCCCCCGTTCTGCTGCCGCCTGGGGTCCCTTCTGTGGCACCCCAGGTCCACCACCTGCCTTTGGAACAGAGAACACATTTCTTCCTAGGCCACATCCTCGGGGGCCGCAGCGGCTCGGGGCCCAGTGGCACCAGCCTCCCCCAGTGTCCTGCACCTTGAGTGGGCCAGTGTGTTGGGGGCCCTGCTGGCTCGCTTGGTGGCCAGGAGGGCTGTGAGGGCTTGCAGAGCGGTCGCCTGCCTGCCAGCCCCTTTCCTTTCATGTCAGGGAACACCCAGGGCTCCTGGAGAGCACCAGGGGGCATTTGCCCAGCTCCCGGCTGCTGCCCAGAGGGGCCAGGTCTAGGGCCAGGGCCACTGCCTTTGAGGGGGAACTAAACCTCTCCTGGGGTTCACTGTCCTTTTGCTCTCCCACTCCCCACACCTGCTGTCCCTTAGGTTTGCGGGGGCGTTCACTCTCCGCCAGAGGATGCTGAACTTTGTGCAGAACATCCAGTACTACATGATGTTTGAAGTGATGGAGCCCACCTGGCACCTGCTGGAGAAGAATCTCAAATCGGTCAGTGGGAGGCCTGCCGCCCTGGCAGGGGCTGTGGATCCCAGGCGTGTTTGTGTGCCCCCCCCGGTGGCCTTGGAGTGCCAAGCAACAAGATTGGGGCAAGGGGGGGGCAGAGTGCTGCTTCTGTGCCCATGTGAGGGAGGCCCTTTTCCTGCCTCCTCTTTGACCGCTGGGGTAGCTGAGGATTTCCCCTGGGGAAGGACAGGCCGGTTGGTGGGACTTCCTCCTTCCACCCTGAAGGGCCCCAGGTAGCCAAGCGGCCAGAGCCTCACTTCCTGGGTGCCACCAGCCCAGAAGCAGCTGCCTGGTCTGCTTTTAAGAACATTTAGGGGGTCTGTGCTCTGCTTCTCTTTCTGTTGGAGAGGATGAAGGGCGTGTTCTCTGGGAAGCAGCTTTGGGTCTCGTGGGTGCTCTTCAGCCTCTGAATGGAGAGCCCTGGTTCTCCCCTCGTCCTTGGTGTGGTTATGACCCGGGAGTCCAGTGTTTCGGCTCTTGTTTCCCCAACTGATTTCCAGTCTGCCTGAAGGTCTGCTCCTGTGCTTATTGTTCAGAAAGAGGTCTGGAAAAGGGTGGAGGGGGCTTTCCCCTCTGTATTCATGCCTCCACCCTTGTTTCAGTACAAAGCAACAAAGCATGCTAGTAAAATGCATTAGAGGCTAGAAAGCAGAGGGGCTCTTGGTTTCCGTGCTGGATGCCTGGCAAGCCAGCTGCTGATTCCTCTTTTGCCAGCATAGGCTCTTCTGCCAGTTTTCAGAGGAAGATGCTGTCCTGCATCTAAAAACTGTGCTCACAACCTGGGGTTCAAATCCCAGGTAGCCGGCTCAAGGTTGACTCGGCTTTCCATCCTTCCGAGGTCGGTAAAATGAGTACCCAGCTTGCTGGGGGGGGCAATGTGTAGCCTGTATAATTAAAATTGTAAACCGCCCGGAGAGTGCTTGTAGCGCTATGGGGCGGTATATGTCCAATAATAAATAAATAAATAAATAAATAAATAAATACATACATACATACATACATACATACATACATACATACATACATACATACATACATACATAAATATAACAGTAATCACTAGAGCTGACTGCTCCTCCATGCATGTTCCCTTGGATGAGTGGTTTGGAAGGTTAGAAAAACTCAAAATAGAATATAAAAGTGAACAGTGAAAATGAGGGTGGGAGAGAACCTTTTTCCTCTACTGGAGGAAAATAGACGTACAAGGCAGCTCCGATGGGCAAAGGCATTATTTTTAAGGTGTCAGGTACATGTTGCTTGAAGGCCTGGAAATAAAAAAGGGTCTCCAGCTGGTGCCAGGACATGGGCAGGTAACCTGGCATCCCCAGACTGGTACTACCCACTCGGTACTCTGGAAGCCCTTGGCGTGTAGTCTCTGCGTGCCTCACTCCACGTATCTGGAGCTGCCTTCTCAGTGAGCAAGGAGAGAAGGGCCTTTTAAGGTGGCCTTTTTGGGGGGGGCGTATTTTAACACAAAGGAAGGGTTCTTAGCAGCCTGTGGATGCCTTGGTGTCTGGTTTGCATCCTCCTGTCAGCAGAGATTAGAGCAGGCGGATCCCCAGGACCCCCTCTGACCCATGGGCCAGGGTGGGGCTCACGGCCTGCTGTGTCCTTGTCCAAGCCTCCAACATTGACGATGTCTTGAGTCATCACACCAGCTTCCTTGACAACTGCTTGAAGGACTGCATGCTCACCAACCCGGAGCTGCTGAAGATCTTCTCCAAAATGATGTCTGTTTGTGTCATGTTCACCAACTGTATGCAGGTAGGGCTCCCCATCTGTGCCAAAGGCTCGTGGCACGGAGGCTGCCACGACACCCACAGCCCTCAAGAGGAACTGGGGTTAGGGTAGCTGGAGTGCTCATCGCCACCGTTTTCCTCCACCTGTTTTCCTGCCAGCGATTCTCTCACAGCATGAAGCTGGATAATGAACTGGGACGGTTGACAGTGGAGCACGGGACCATGAGGGGCCCCCCCACAGAGCAGGAGCTGGAGGAGGAATCCACGCGGAAGCTTCTGGCTAGTAAGGTGGGTGGGGAGCAAACAGATCCCACCTCCCATTTCTTGTTGGACTCGCGGGCAGGAAGCTTGTCGCCAGCTACTTGGGTCTCACGTGGTGACATGCTGGGGAGAGGGGTGTGTGTTTTTCTCGTACAGCAGGACAAATAAGAGGGCGCTTCCCTTCCCAAGGGTGAGCTGCTTGGGCCTTCCCAGGGCCTCTGTGCTCTCTCTCCACCTCCTTTTCTTCGAAAGACACCCCAGATGTGAAACCTTGCCCAAGACCGTGTGAGCAGCTACTGGCTTTCACTCTGCAGCTGGGAGAGAAACTCCCCTGTTCTCCTCTCTCGGGAACTGTGGTGGAGGTTGGGGAACAAGCTGTTTACTCCCTCTGTATTTTGGCTGTGCAGCTCTTAGCAGAGCATGCAGACTCCCTGCAGGTAACCTCTGGCTTTGAGGCAACAATCAACAAGTTTGACAGCAATTTCTCAGCCCATCTCCTGGACCTTCTGGATAAGCTGAGCATCTACAGCACCAATGACTGTGAGCACAGCATGATCAACATCATCTACAGGTGAGTGGAGAAGCACAGCGGCTGCTGTGGAACGGTCAGGGATAGCCACCTGCGGCCAGGGATAGCCACCTGAGGCTACAAATCACACAGGCTCCCTCCAGGAACTGGCGGTGGAGGAGGATCATTGGGAGAGGGTTGCCATGCCTCTGATGCACAGCTGTGGGAATTGGGGAATCCCATACAAGATGGGTCTTTTGGTTTGATGCAGGGCCAGGCCCACGTGCTCTTCACTGGGGATGTTTCCACCAGTAAATTGGGCCCTCCCTTCACTCCTAGGTTGGACTTCAACGGCTTCTACACAGAGCGGCTGGAGCACATGTCTGCGGAGCGGAGCCGGAAAGCCATCGCGCAGGCGGCTCCTCCTGGCCCCAGGGCTGTGTTGGCTACATAGGGAGCGACGTGATTCCCCTTTTCCCAAGGGTCCTCCTTGGGGGGGTGGGGGTTGCAACGGGAGCTCTATGTAAATATGCAGCGCTTCTGTAGTGTGGGCTTGTCACTCCACCATGGAGATGCCAAACATGTCTGTGGTGGCAGTTGTGTTTGTGAGGGCTATGTGGTTTTGAAGGTATCCTCTTTTTAAGAAAATACAACTTTAACTTAAAATGTGCAATTCACTATTTTATGTAAAAATAAAATGAATTTACAGGTGGTTTCTGTGGTCTTTCTTTTTAAAAAGAGGCTAGTTTCTTCCTATTTATTTGTTAAATTTATATCATGCCCATGTAGTGGCAAGAGCTAACACAAGTAACACCCACTCACCAGCAGAATTTATCCAAATCATAAGAAACAGGGGAAAGGACTTCCAAAGGCAACAGCAACCTAAATTAAAATATAATCACTTGGGAAAGCTAGAGGATCATGTTTCTGAAGGCCTCCTTAAAAATTTCAGGTTCCATGCATTTCATGAAGGGCAGAAGGGAGGGAGCCTGGCATCTATACGCAGGTAATGTGTTCCACAACATTATGGCTACCATTGAAAAGGCAGGGTTCCTAGTGGAAATTTTCCAGGTCTTTCTCGGGGCATTCACCCATAACCGTACAAGATGATCTTATGGAAAGTCACTGACAGGTAGCAAGGTCCCAAACTGTTAAAGGCTTTATAACATCTGACATGGAAATGCACAAGCCAATGCAGGTTAGCCGGAATCGGGGAGATGATCATATTGGTGGCACATAACTATTCCAATTTGTTCGGCAGTTTCTACTTGGAAACCTGGGAACAGAGCACCCCTATCTCACAAAGGAAGAAGCCTGTGCCAGCTGGCCCCCACATGGAGCAGGGAAACTGCTGACTTGTTACCACCATCCTGGCTCAGGCCTGATATCGCTGGTGGCAATTAAGAGACAAGCAAGAGCTGGAGGCCTGCAATTCTCTAACCCTTTTGGACACTATCTCCCCTCTCTGAGGACTGAGAAGTGCAGGCAGGGCAGAATGGCCAAGAGGTCGCCAGTTTCCAGGGGCACCCAGCAGATAAAGACAACTGCCAGAGGAAAGGTTATGAAAATAGTTTTATTTGCCCTCGCTGCCAAAGACCAGAGCGTTGCATGTACGTACACGCACATTTCAAAACAAGTGTCTGTTAGAAAAAACATACCCACCAGCAAGCAAGGAACCCTTTCCAGTCACCAGATCTGTCTTCTACAGCAACAGCCCAACACAAGCTTGTGGAGGTGGAAGGGATGAGACACTGTGGAGAGCCGAACACAAGTGGTTCCACGCTCTACTTGCGCTCCCAGAGGGAAGCTGGGGATTAAGTCAACATACATATAAGCCTTGTATTCAAGGAGAATTTGGCATTTCACTGAGGAGGACCCAGAAGTATCTTTTGTTGAGGCAGGAGAATCTGCAAACCAACGCCTGCCTTCCAAGAGGGAGCTTCCACTTCCCATGGAGCCTGTGGGGGTCATCTAAAAAGGGCAAGCAACCCCGACCACTCCAGGTGTTCTGGGCCTGGCCTGCAGAGCCTGTGGTGGAGAGCATGGGAGCAGCAGTCTGAATCTGTGAGCGAGGGGAACAGTTGCCACCCCAGCTAGTTGAGGGGGACAGGCTTCTGACTCTCCTCAAAACATAGCTGTCTGGAGACAATTTGTATTTCTGCCACGAGGACCGAGGAGGCATCTCGGCCTATGAAGAGCCGGGAGGTTCGTGGGTGGCCATCTGAAGCTGCTAACTCTCCCACAGGCGGTTCCTCACACAGACAAGATGTCATCACGACCAAGCACGGCTGTGCAGCAGTCCCATTCGTGGAACATGGAAAAGGTCATCAAACGTGCAGACTTTGAGGGGTTTTTTGTACACTGAAATAGCAAAAACTGTTGCCTCCTCCATCTCAAAAAAAAAAAAAAGGTGGATATTGGGGGGGGGAACAACTGCCTTGTGATATTCTGAGGTGAAGAACTAGTGAGTAAGGAAACTTATGGCCCACACGGTGGCACTGTCGTTGCCTTCAACTCCCTCTGTATGAGCAGGGGAGAGAGAGAGAGAGAGAGAGAGGATGCTCCCAGTCCCTTTTCTACGGTATGAGCAGGGGAGAGAGAGAGAGAGAGATGATGCTCCCAGTCCCTTTTCTACAGGCATCTTCCAGTGCTGGAAACGAAGGCACCCTTCCCAGCCGGGGTGGGGTGGGGGGGCAACTGGCCCTTGAACCTGTCCTAATCCTTGACTGCGGGGGACAAAATAAAGATACCACGCTGCATAAAGTGGCTGACTCCCTTTTTCTGCTCTTGAGTTAAGGCCATATGAGGCAAAGACAGCCCTGGTTTGGAACCAGAGGGTGAACGAGAAAGGCAAGCGCAGAGCTGCTGCTGTGGTGTCTGTCCCTTCTCAGCATGAGCGCGTCACGTGGCGCTCGCTTGGGGCCGGAGGTGGAGTTTCCCCGTTTTTGAGAGGAGGGGAGCTTCCCTCACAGCTTCTGCCGCCGCCATGTGCTGGAAGGCGCAGGAGCCCAGGGAAAGGTGGCTGGGAAGGCTGCCCCCAAAGTAGACCTTGCGGTTGGTGGCAATGGCCCAGTGCTTCATCAGCTCCAGGTAGGCTGGCGTCAGTCTCAGCTGCCGAGAGAGAACAGGGAAGACGGGCTGAGGCCAAGGATTCAATGACTCAGAAGGCAGACAGCCCCCCCCCCCAAATCAGGGAGTGGGCCACTGCGACAGGAGACAAGCGCGTCTCCCCCCCTAAAGGAAAGGGATATTCCCTCAAGTGCAAATGCACACACAAAGCAAACTCACCTTGTTTGAGTCGGCTGCTTTCTGTGCAGTGTAGAATTCGGCATCTGCTTTCGCCTTCTCTCTTGCCAGGAATGCGGCATCTAAGAGTATGGCAGGAAAGATGGGCTCAGGCCTCTAAAGCAGGAAGGGCGCCCCTCCAGGCCCTGCCGCGCTCGTCTGTAGGAAGCCCACAAAAATCCTTTGGGTTTTTTTTCAGAGAGCCACCACAAAGCTCTGTGGCGCTCGCTCTACAGAGGACCCGCCCGCTTGGTGTGTCTCCTACGGGCCCCTCCTTGGGCTCTTCGGGAGGCGAAACCCCTGCTACGAGGGAAGGAGACCAACAAGGGGAAGGGAGGCTCTCTAAAGAGACTGATGAAGGAGATGATGATCTTACTTACTGCTTCTCTCACATAGCGTAGCTTGTTAGCTACACTGGACCATGTTCTAGTTTTCTGGGCCAACGGTGGCCTCGAAAGGCTGCGATGCTCTTCCTGTTTCCACCCCTATTACTGGACTCCACCCACTCCTCTTCTGCCACGTATGCCGAGCCTCCGTTCTCAGCTCGTTCCCTTCCCTTCCCTTCCAGGTAACGCTAGCCCTTCCTACCCCTACCTCACTCTGAAATGAGTCCCAGTTTGGGGATGGAGCTTCCCCCAAATCTAGCAAGTTGCTCATTTTGGGGAACAGAAAGGGAATTAGATGGACTCACAGCTACCTTCAAGCTCAGAAATTCGCTTCTCTGTCAATGTCTTCATCATCTTCTGCTGATACTGAATCTTGGCCACCTGAGCCACCTTCTCTGCTTCTGAAACAGATGCAGATAGATTCGCTCAGTCTCTTCAGGACATGCAACTCACTGAGGCCACCACCACCACCACCACCACCTCCCATGGGGATCCCGAGAGGGGTCCGGGTCAGCAGTCATCGCTGCCGGCTCCCCACAGAGTGGCGTATCGTGCATCACAGCCAGGATTAGCACAGCCCACAGACTTTCCTCCACCGGGCTCTACTAGGAATGCTGGATCCTTCCACCAGTCTTAAGAGAAACCAGGCACACAGCCTGGCCTCAACCAGAAGCAGGGCTGTTGCCATTCTTGGTGAGTTAAGGATGCCTTTTGCCGACCACGCAGCATGCGATAAGACTCCAGAGCATTATGTCGCGGCTGTTACTCTTTCCTGCTGGCGTGAACTCTCCACCACCACTCCGGTCTCACACCTTCTCCACTTCCATCGTCTCCTCTGACTCCATGGCCTATCATGTCCTTTCGGCATGGAGGCTGCTGGGAAAACCATGTGCCTGGGGCCACCCAAAGGGGAGCAGCCACTTACCTATGATGGCTTTCCTCCGTTCCGTTTCAGCTTCCTTCTCCACCACCTTCTGCTTCTGAGCAGCTATCAGAAGCTTGGTTTTCTCTGCTTCCCTGCAAACCGGGGAAAAAAATTGGGGACAAGGGGAGAGACCTTCCAGCTGCCTGGTGCAGAGAACATCCATCCTGCCTGCCTGGTCGCAAAAAACCAGCCCTTTCCTGCAAAGGGCCAGCAAGGGAGGACAGGCGGCCAAAGGGAAAGCTGAGGGGAGAATAGCTGACCCACCAGCCACCAGCTATAGGGCTGGACAGGGCATAGTCACACAGAACTGGAACACCCATTTCAGAGGGCTTCTGAAGGAGCTTTGCCAGATGAAGGATGCTGCTCTCCCAGCAGCTACTTATAGCCAAGGGATATCCCTGTCTTCCCCAGGAAGAATCTCTGAATACCAGATGGTGGGGGACATGGGTGGGGAGAAGGGAAGTGCTCAGAGCACCTGCCCAGCTTGGGGGCTTCTTCTCGTAGAGCACCAGGGAAGAGGGATAAAACAGGATTATGGACTTGAAAAACCCATCTTTGGCCTCGTCCAGTCCCAGGGCAGTTCCCACTTTCTTAGCAAGTACTCACACAAGCTCAAAATTTCTTCGGATGGCTTCAGGGATTTTGGGCTTGGTCACACGGACGGCCTGCACACAGGAAGTTCACTGGCTGGGTCAGTAAGCCCCTCCCCCATGGAGAAAAATCCCAAAACACACCTTCTGCTGCTGCTGCTGCCCAAAAAGGCTTCCCTGAAACGGACCACGGCCTCCAGCGCCCACCGAGGAGAACAACACCAGAGCTGCCCCACAAGGGATGTGAGGTACACCTTGCAGGCTCTCCTCCCTCCCTAAATCTCACTTTCCCCTCTTTGGTGCTTCTCAGCTTGCTGGTCTCCCCCCCCCCACCTCCACCCTGTCCACAGCTCCCCTTCCCCAGCAGCCTCAGCCCCATCTGGCAAGGGCATCTTGTGCTCTCGGGTAGCTGCACACAGCCAAACCTTGTGGGCTCTCCTCCAGCCCCCCCCCATTACTTTAAAAGGCATCCAGAGAGTTGCACCATCACCCCAACTCACAGGCAACACAAGGGGAACTTTTAGTAGCGCTTGCTGTCTTCCACAGAGCTCTTCCTCACACCAAGTAACGATGAGGAAACATAATAAGCTTGTGGAGAGTTGGAGGAGAGGGAAGCCTTACCTCAGAAGGAACAAGGAGAGCCTCCTTACCTGGATGGTGAGACCTGGGGCCATCTGATTCAGGTCCTGCTGCAGTGCCAGCTTCAGGTTCTCGTCTATTTGATCTAAGGCAAGGGGACAGAAGGTGAAAGCCAGAATTAGCTGGAAGGGGAGGGCGGACTACACTGCCCCCCCCCAAGGCAGCTTTGATACCCACCAAGTGCAAGAACCCACACTGCCTGCTAACCGCCCCACTCGCTCACTGCCTCGCTGGAGACAAAGCCAAAGGAAAGGGCTTTAGCAGCTACTGTTCTGTTGGATGGAGCCCATCTCCTCCTTGCATTCTCCAAAGGGGCAAGACCTGGACTGGGGGCTTTGCAGGTGGTCTCACCGCCAAGACAGAGGCATCCTCACCAAAGAGTTCAATGTAGACCTCCTGGAGAGTGTGGACGCTACAGAACTGATTGAGCTCGTGGTGGATTTTGTTGAAGATGAGGGCCTTGTCATAATCCGCCGTGTAGTTCCTCACAATGTCGTAAACTGGGAAAGAAAACATCAAAAGAATTGCAGGGATTTTGTTCCTGACTCCCTCCTCTCTTAGCCACTTGTACAACATTCAAGGCTTCAAATCTGATAATTTCCTGGAATTCTGGGAACCAACACACAGCATTTTTCTATACCCAAGTGGAACCCTTGCAGCCACAAAGATGTAACTGCAGGAGTCAGGGAAGGAAATAAAGCAAGTCACCCTTTAAAAAAATGAATAGGGCTACAGTTTTAAAGAAATGGCCACAAGCAAAGATACAGGGTTGAGCAAAGGGGTTTATCTTCAGTCAGTGAGTCTACACTTTTAATTTTAAAAGCAGTAGCTGAAATCCTCTTCCGCAGTTATGCAGAAGGTGTAATTTTTTGAGGCAAACCTGCCTGAAGTTAAGAAATCTACATAAATTAACTTTTACATGCTGACTTGACGTGTAACACGTGCTAATCTCACTGACTCACGAAATCCCCACAGATCTAATTTCATTATTGAATTTCAGCCAACATCTACAGAAATTTCTTGATTTGTGGCAGTTTGTCCCCCAAAGTTACACTTCAGCATAACTGCAGGAAAGGGTTTCAGTCAGACTGATTTGTCTCAGCCACTTCTCACTCTCCCCTCACTGGGGCTCTAGCAGGGAATCTGTACCTATGCAGGCCGCCCAGCTGGGTCCAGAAGCACCCTAAGCTGTGGCTACAGAGAGGCTGGCGTGGGTGTCTTGCCAGCCACATGCCAGACTGCCCTGAACAGAAGCCTTCAAAAGGATTGTTTTTAATTTTTGCTGTATTTATTTATGTATTTATATTTATTTATTTATTTATTTGATTTTTATCCCGCCCATCTGGTATATCATACCACTCTAGGCGGCTAACAACAAAAGATATACAATTAAAATACAAAATCCAAACATCAATTATAACAATACTGACAATATACCAACAGATGATAAATAATAGACAGAGAAAAGGAAGAAAATCAAATCAAATCAATTTAAATGCTGGCAGGGGGGAAGGCCTGGATGTAAAGCCATGTTTTTAATTGCGTTTTAAATGTACCCAGCGTAGGGGCCGCGCGAATCTCAGGAGGGAGATTGTTCCAAAGGCGAGGAGCCACCGCCGAGAAGGCTGTTCTGCGTCTTTTCCCTCCGGGCTTCTCTCGGCGTCAGGCTCCTCAGCCTCATCTCCTGGCTTGCACGGGTGGATCGGGTAGATATTGGGGGGAGCAGGCGTTCCACCAAGTATCGAGGTCCCAAACCGTTTAGGGCCTTATAAGTAAGCATTAGAACTTTGAAGTCCATGCGGAAACAAATGGGCAGCCAGTGAAGTCTGGCCAGGGTAGGAGAAATGTGGTGGTATTTTCTCCCTCCAGTAAGGAGCCTGGCCGCTGCATTCTGCACCATCTGAAGTTTCCACGTCAGCCTCAAAGGCAGCCCCACGTAGAGCCCGTTGCAGTGGTCTAATCGGTACTTGCTCAGAGGAGAAACACTGGGCAAGGCAAACGGTTCTCCCCTCTTTTCTTGACCCGCCCTCTGACCAAGGCCTGGATGGACCTGTTTGGGCCTGTCTTTTGGACGAGGGAGAACGGCATCATTGAGGTCATGCCAACTGCGATATACAGAAGTCCCCAATACCCACAGAAGGGACCTGCCGTTTGCCCGTAGCCTGCCTCCCTGGCCATGACTGCAGTGACAGGACAGCTGCTGCTGGGATCCTCCTGCACCAGCTTTCCATATCTACTCGCCTCATACAGGCCTGCCCAGTCCAGGCATCATCAGCCGAAGGCTGAACCATGTGGGAAATTCAGGGCCACCTCCAGGCCTCCATCTCCTCAGCAACCTCAGCCAGGACTGGACACTTACCCCTCTGCAAATTCCTTTCCCATGATCACCAACTGCAAATTGAAGCCCCCACTCAACCCCTGCCACTCCTCCGTGATTTCTCTCGTCGCTCTGAAGCCTGATTTCCACGGCAGGAAAAAGAAGAATACCTGCATGCGCAGCCAGCATGTTCACCACCTCTATCCGATCAATGTAGATCATGACGCCACCGCTGCAAGAAGGCAGAATAAAAACTGGCATAAGGATGGCCTGAGCCAGGCTGGAAAGGAGATTCTTTGCCACATGTAGATAATCCAGGTCGTGCACTTAGAGCCTGGCAAAAACCTTTAAGGAAGCCGAAAACGGCCACAATATCTTTCAATCTGCATGATCCTGTCATAAAATGGTTTGGCCATTAGCGGGCAATCAATATGCGAACATCTAAGCCCTAGCATTTAAAAAGGCTTATATTTATAATTTGATATTTCATTATCTTATAACATTCTTTCTTGCAAATGTACAGTTATTGTCTACAGTATCTAGTTACCGTTTCTCTGTAACCCAGCGTGTTGTTAATCTGTGGAACCCCTTGCTACAGGGGATCGGACAGATTCCTGGAGGAAAAGTCCATCACAGGTGACAGGCCATGATGGGGAGGTACAATCTCCAGGCTTCGAAAGAAGGTCCCTCCAAATGCCAGAGGCAGGGGAGGGGGATCAAGAGACAGGGATCTAGCGGTCTCTCCTGCGCTCCCAGAGACATCTGGTGGGGAGGCCCATGAGATACAGGAAGCTGGACTAGAAGGGCCCTCGGCCTGATCCAGCACAGGGCTCTTCTTCTTCTTAGGTTCCTATGTTAGTGAATGTGCCCCTAGTATAAAATTTGGGCCAAAAGAGTGATGGAGGGCAAGAAGAAAGAAGACACAGCAGGAGAAAGAAGCACCAGTTGAAAGAAATACAGGAATTCACAAATGTCAAGTTCAGCCGCTTCCTTAGAAGCTGGGCAGCAGGACCTGATGCAAAGCCATGACTTGTCCAGGGATGTCTTGCACCTCAGTTAGCAGGTATGGGAATCTCCAGGGCTGGGTGCCATTAACTTGCAGTTTACACAAGCTACGGCAGCTAGAAGGTTGCAAACAAATACCATGTTTCCCCACAAAATAAGACAGGGCCTTATATTAATTTTTGCTTCAAAAACCACATTAGGGCTTATTTTCAGGGGATGTTTTATTTTTTTCATGTATAACAATATACATTTGTTCAAATACAGTCATGTCATCTTCTTCTGGTTGCTGCACAATGGTGGAGGACAGGGTTTCACTTAATTGCGGCTTATTTTTGGGGTGGGGCTTATATGACGAGCATTCTGTAAAATCATGCTAGGGCTTATTTTCAGGTTTGGCCTTATTTTCGGGGAAACAGGGTACTGGAGGATCCAAGGAGTGATGCGATAAACACGCACATGAAAATGGACAAATGAACTTTGGTTGTGCCCTCTGAGAGTTTCTCCATCTGCATTTGGGTCAACATGGACAGCCTGCTTCATCCTATCCTGCGCTCCTTAGCTGGAGACATGAGGAGTGGCCTACCCACTACTGGAGATGTGAAGAGAACCGAGTAGAGATATTTATATCACAATTTCATAGCTTCTGTTTTTATAAATGTTCAAAAAAAGTAACAACGTAATGCGTTTAACTGCAATTCGGGAGGTTGATACTCCTTTCCCTTTTTCAATTTCCAGAATTTTTCTTGCACAAAGAGCAAGCGAATAGTCTGACAGGACAGCCTCCTGCTGTTCACCTAAGGTGAAAGATAGAGAACCACCAAGATTATGCCCACTGAGGCTGATGAACATGGCAAGCGACAGCTGCGGCACCAGCCACCCCTCTTGCCAGGCCACAGGTCTTAGAAAAAATTTGGTTGTGCAGAAGTCAAGGGACGGAACACATGTGAGTGAGCCGCTGCAGAGGCAGATCCATGTGTTTTACAGATGTAGGAGTGAAGGCTAGCAAAACTCTTGTGGCCCCGTGAATGGCAAGTGAGAGGAAAGGCTGCTTAACATGGTTTGGGGGGGGGAGCCTGAAGGAACGCTCCAGAATCCACAGCAGGGCCTCAGCTCTGTGCACGGCCCCCGTTCACCCGGTCCTCCCGGTCCTGCCCAGGGTCTCTCTTGGCAGGCTGGCCAATGCTTGGGGTTCTCGCGGAATGAACCCCTTCCCCCCTGAGCCTCCATGAAGAGGAATGTGGGATTCACACCCCAAAGAAAGTTCCCCGCTCCTCTCTCCACTGAATGGCTTGAGCCAGGAACACCAAGAGGGCTACAAAAAGACCACGTACCTTGTCCCACAAGGTATGTTTTTCACCTCGTCAGTATGCAACGTGGTCTGAAAAGATACACAGGGAGGGACAGAGAGAGAGAGACAGAGAGTAAGCAACCAGGGCAGGGTCAGGAGGGAAGGGCAGGCAGGGCCGGCGTATTCCAGGAGGGGGACTGCTTTCTCCTTCCTTCTCTCCACCCCATCTTCTAACCTTTCTGATCTGGGGAGCCAGGTCTAACAGCACAAGAAGCGAGAGGGAGGCCCTTGTCCAGCAGCAAGGAACTGGAGACACTCCGGGGGGGGGCAAACCACCACCACCCCACCCTTGGATGGTCCCTGCACCCACCCACTGAACCACCGGCTGGGCTGGATCAGCAGCCCAACCCAGGCAGAGGGCTCGGGGCTCCCCACACACACACACACAGGCGGCACCCCAGGAGGCAGCTGGCAGGACCGTCCTCTCCGCAGCAGGGCCAGGCTGGTCCGAGGACCCAGAGATCATCCCTGCCCTGCCCCCTGCCCCCCTTGGCAAGAGGCTTGGGGTGGGGTGGGAGTCCTCTGCCCTTGGGGGTCCAGGCACCCACTCACACCGCCCCTGGGGAGAGACTCACCTGCACGGCCCTGTAGGTGGTGATGAAGGGGAGCATGATGTGGTAGCCGGGCCCGCTCAGGGCTGGAAGCAGCGCCCCTCCCCTGCAAGAGGGAGACACAGGCTGTTGAGATTTGGATATGAAAATGTATTAAATATTAACGTTGTACAGTTACATATAAAACGGCTGATTTTACCTGAGTCACTGGACTGATTGTAGCGTTTCCCCCAAAATAAGACCAAATCTGAAAATAAGCCCTAGTATGATTTTTCAGGATGCTCGTAATATATAACATAGCATAGGCATCCTTCAGTCTCGAGAGACTATGGTAACATGCTCTGAATCGAGGAATGTCCTCTCCAGAGCATGAAGCCCGGGTAAGGTAATATGGAGGATAGGCTGTTCCCCAAGCAGCAGATCCCCCCTCTCCACATTGCTGAAATGGGCCAATGGAAAGGCAAGAGCCAATACAACTGGTTCCAGCAATGTCGCAGGAGTTGGCAGAACGACACATGCTGCCTTCGGGACTCCAGCCCCGGATTTTGCCTCGAGGTTAACTCCTGAAGCCTTTTCCATGAGTGGATATAGCCACAAGGCAGTGGAGGTTTGAAATTGGAGTTTTCCTTCTCCTAGATGGGCTGCCTTCCATGGCTGACGAGCCCCACCTACCCGGCCTGCTCTTTAATAGTGCAAAAGTATGATCTGATCCTTAAAACGTGCGTAATATATAAGCCCTACCTCAAAATTAGCCCAGTTAAGTGAAGCCCGTCTTCCACCCTTGTGGAGCAACAAGAATATGATGACAGGACTGTATTTGAATAAATGTAGATTGTTGTACATGAAAAAAAAACATCCCCTGAAAATAAGCCCTAATGCAGCTTTTGGAGCAAAAATTAATATAAGACGCTGTCTTATTTTCGGGGAAACAGGGTATTCAGGTGTGGGCATCAAGGATTAAGACTTAATGTTGTACATGGTGAAACTGTGTGTAACAGAAAATGAAGCCATGTGTGTTGTTGCTTCGAGTCACGTTATGCTGCCAGAGGAATGCCTGTTCTCTATGTGTGTGTGTGTGTGTGTGTGTGTGTGTCTGTGTGTATATATATATACATATATATATATACATATATATATACATACATTTTAGTTGTGTGCATTTGGTTGTGATTACGTTTTTAAAAACTCAGTTAATGTACATTTCTTTTCTGTGTGTAGCTCTGAGAATGCTGCTTGGGTACTGAAGGGCAAGATACATATTTCAGAAACAACAACAACAATAATAACAATAACAACAACAACAACAATAACAGTAACAACAACAACAACAACAACAACAATAATAATAATAATAATAATGCAGTGAACATGACAATGCCTATACTGAGATAGTTTTAATTCCCTTTCCCTAATAAGCTGAACTCTATACTGAGCAGGCAGCATGGGAAAGGTAAATGAGCCCGTGGGCCTGACTCTGTGCATTGTGTAGACCGATGAGCTTTCCTAGTCCTATCCTGGAATGCCAGAAACCCCATTATTTGTATCACTTGGCAAATGTCTCTCAGGTGATCTGTCTGATTCTCTATGAATTTATATTAGCATGTCGGGGAAATCCTTTAATTGATATTTATCGTGGCTAGTCCTGCTCCCCTTTCAAGAAATTGAATGGGCAGCTAAAGAAAGAGAGCAAAACATGAGAATGTATTCTCATCTAGCAGGACTGTTGCTGAATGGGCATTTGACATGATCCAGAGATCATATGAGAGTTTCATCCTGAGGAGTGAAAGGGTGTGTTATTTAGATGAAAATTGGACTTTGTATGCAAAACAGAAGGAAAGACTGTATTAAATGGTTCTGATTTTAAAAGATCACTACAGTACTAGCAATGGCAATTTTTGGCTATTACAGGCTCCTTGACAACATCCTGGTGCTCTCAAAAGCTTCCACAGGGCAAAAGAGAGCCTAAGGAGCTTTGGAACCAGAAAGGGGAAGGGGACAGGAAACTTTCAATTAATTTCTAGCAAATATCCCAGGAACCAGAGGGTGTCATACCTGATTTACGTACATGGTGTAAATTGAATCAACTGGATTCTGGCCATTATTTAAATAAGTGAAAACATTTTCAACAGAACTAAATCAGTAGCAATGGGTAAAAACTTACATATGGGTCAATTTAAATAGTCTTTTGGAACTCATGTGCCCTGATTAAGAACAATACTAAGTCCCGGGAGTGACGCGGGTTGCCTTTTCGCCTTTCTCTCTCTCTCCCTCCCCCTCCTTCCAACACGCACACCCGCTTTCAGGCTGGCCTGCGGAGACGTGGAGGGGCGGCTGGGCGCCTTGTACAGCCGGGTCCAGGCCGTCCAGAAGAAAAGTGGCCCCTTTGACGTAAGTGGGTCTTCCCTCCCCCTGAGGGGCCTCCTTCTCTCTCTCTCTCTCCCCCTCCCCCTCCGTCCCTCCCCTGCAGCCCCCTCAGAGGTGTTGGGCGCCCCTCCTCTGGAATTGGGCCCTTTTCCGGCCTGGGGGTGCAGTGGGGGGCGGGCGCAGCACAACTGCTCTCCTGTAGGGAGGCCGGGCGGGCAGGCAGGCATGCAGAGCCTTGACTTCCTTTATCCTGGAGGCAAAGGCTCAGGCCGCGTGGTGCCAGACGGAGGATGTTGTCCCTCTGACCGCAGTTGCTGCTGCTGCTGCTGCTGAGCCTGGCCCAAGGAGAGAAAGCCCTGGTTTCCGCATGCCCCGGCGCTCTTCCCGAATACCACAGTCGCCCAGCAGGGATGTGTTTCGCCTCAGTGTGTCCTGGGGCACCTTTTCCTCACCTAAGAGCCTCCCCTGCCATGGAGCCAACTTTCCCCACCTGTGTTCTCCGGACGTATGAGAGGTTTTGTGAACTGAATTCGTGAGGAGGGGCTCTGTGGAGGCCAGCCTTACGTTGTTGTTCTTCAGAGGCAGCTCTGAGGGCCATTCTCCTTGTGTTCTGAGACCCTGGCGAAAAATCTGTTTGAGCCTCTTAGCAACTCCCTGTCTCCTCTCCTTGCATTCTCCTCCAGCTCCTCCTCTGTGTGGGGAACTTCTTTGGCTCTGCTCAGGACGCTGAGTGGGAGGAGTACCGGACAGGAGCCAAGAAAGGTAGGGAAAGTCTCTCTTCTGCTAGGACTGCTTGCCCAGAACGGCCAGAAGAAGCAGAGGGCTGCCAGGCAGTCCTGAAACCCTGCTCCACAGCCTCTGGGAGCAGGAACCCCAGGCCGCCTTTGCACTGCAGGGTCTGGCTGGCCTCCGCGCCAAGCACAGTCCCTTCAGCTTCCTCTGTTTGGAGGACGGAGGGGCTGGTGGGAGGGCATGACTCTTCCCCTGAGGAAAGGTGTTGGAGAGAGGGAGGATTCCAGTCTAGCCTTGGTTGCCCGTTCTGTCTTTAAATCCTGATCTGAGAAAAACCAAGCCTCTCTCAGAAACAGGCTGTATTCTCTTTCAGGCCAGGGCTTCCTCCCTTTCCTTCTGCACACAAGGGCACTTCAGAGGAAAGAGACAGAGTTTCAGGGGATCTTGAATACTTGGGCAAGAGCAAATTTTTAATAGGGGAAATAGGTATATTGACACGGATTTACATCTTTGCGTTTGCATCAAAGCATAGCTTATTTTATATATCTTTATGTTCAAAATGTCTCCTTTTGACTAGTTTATTGCATTGTAATGTTTAGTGCAATTGTGAAGCTCATAGAGCAGGACCGTGTGCATTAGTTCAGTTAAGAAGCCTTTTTTAATCCTTTATTGGATTTTACTCCAAAGTAAGAACATAAAACTGCAGCCTCAAAAGCCTAAGCTGTGGTTTTGTACAAGCAGATTTACCTGAACTCAGGAAGAGTCTCTGTGGTCCAGGATTATGTTTCCACGGTGGCTGGCCTGAGGGGAGAAAAGCATTTGCCTGTTTTGTTTGGTAGAAAGTCCCTGTTTATTCTGTCCTGTGCTCCCTTCCTTGTTATTGCTGTTGGAGAAGCAACAAGAAGGAAAACCTAAAATAAAAGCTGTAGGTTTAGTAGGGCCCTCCCATCTTTGCGAGGGGCTGCCTGGCAGTTCTCCAGGTGTTAGTGTAGCCCTGAGCCGATGCATCCTGTGGCGTTTCTTTCAGCTCCTATACAGACGTACATCCTAGGAGCCAACAACAGTGAAGCAGTGTGTCATTTCCCAGATGTCAGCGGGTGCGAACTGGCGGAGAACATCACATATCTGGGTAACTGGAAAGCTTAAGTTTGACCTTAATGGCTCTGGTTCAGTGAAGTAAACGTGAGGCAGCTGGAATTTGTCTGTTCCTCACAGCATCTCAGAAGCCAAACAGTGGGAAAAGAGAAAGGTGCTTCCGTGGTGTAGATGCATCTGTTGCCCTGCCTGGTTTCCTGAGGCCTCAGGTGTTCTCAAATTCTTGAGCAGGGAGCTTGATCCTATTGCTGTGAGAGTTTCGGCTTGGCTTAGAACTGATTTTGGGTCACAGGTCTGGAAGCATTATTTTTAGCTATGCTCCCCAGAGTTGGCACAGCTTGAATTAAACCTCCTATCAACAAGTGGCCGCTTGCTCCCTGGTGTTCCCAGATGTGACGCTAGGGTGTCCAGCCAGGCCTGCCTTGCTTGCACCTTGGACACCTTGGAAGGGAGCGGCCAGGTGCCCATTCCTGGAAGATGGTGAGAGGGCTTGCTTTCCAGACTACTCTGGAGACCCTCCTTCTGATTGGATGGGACTTGTGATCTCCTTAATCTTGCACCTCTAGGGTCTTCTTGGAAAGGGGTGGGCAGATGAGGTGCTGCTTCCCCTAGACTCCTTCAAGTGTTGGTGGAAATCTGAGCAACGTGTTAGTGGGGGGAGGGGGACAGGTTCTGTTTCCTTTCACGCTGGAGGAAGAGAGATGCCCCAGCCGATGAGCAGCCCAGTCCACCCAGCATCTCCCACTTGCATCCTTCTAGCCCAGCTCTGAAGGGTCAGCATGCAGTAGCCAAGGTTGGGGTAAATGGCGGCTCTGTGTCTCCTGCCTAGGTGCTACCCTGACCCAGCACTTCCTCTCCTGTGACTCTAGGGCGTAAAGGTGTCTTCAGCGGAGCCTCCGGGCTGCAGATTGCTTACCTCAGTGGGGCTGAGGCCCCACAGGAACCAGCACCCATGCACTGTTTCAGTGCCAAGGACGTGGCGGACCTGCGGGACTCTCTGCTCTCCACATCAAAGTTCAGAGGGGTGGACATCTTGCTGACTTCTCCCTGGCCCAAGGACGTCGAGGCATTTGGCAATAGCCCAGTAAGTATCCCCTTTTGCGGTTAAGAAATTAGTGTAAATGAACTGAGGACAAGCAGATTAAATGAAGCTAAATTCTTTTTTCCAGTTGTTTATTGTCAACTTAACCTCTCTTCAGCCGAAATTAATATAATACCATCTGAGTTTTAAAGCTATCCCTAAGTCTCACTTCTGTGACCCTGAAAATCCACTCTCAATTCCTCACGGAGGGTGAGGAGGAGGCTGTTAGTCAGAGCTCTGCTTCCAGAACCAGCTGGTGGTTTGGATTTTTCTTGATTGTTAGAGGACACTTTTATCATTTCCCTCTCCTGGTCTATCGTAATTACTTCTTGGGGTGAGTGGAATGTCTGCTAGATTTCCTATGGATTTGTAGGTCTTTGCTCTGTCAGCAGGGACCAGTATCATTGCTGCCAGTCTATTTTTTAAAAAAATTGGCTCCATTAGCATTCCATTCACCAAACTCTCTTACTTACTGTTAGCTAAGGAGACTTTTGCAGAAGCCTGAGGATTGACTCGCTGGTGTCATATCCATACAGTCTTTTTATCAGGAGCTGCTCTAGAATTTGTTTAACATCCGGATTGTTTGCGCCCTTTGGCTCTTGTCCCTTCCAGTCCTGATGGCAGTAGGCTAATGCAACAGAGTGTCAGTAACAGATGATGGCTGGCCCCTAGATGTGTGTGTGCGTGTTTGTGCATGCACGTGCAGGTCTTTTCAATACGTTTAGCAATGTCCTGGAAGCTCAAATAAGGTTTTAGATCAAGGGAGCAAATATTGTTTCATCTGAAGATCCTTATTGGCTGTAGAGAATGGGCGAGCTGTGAGGATTTTTGCTCTCTTCCCAACCACCTGTAAATAAATCTTCTGGAACGCAGAACACGGCCAAGTGTTTGTGTGGCTTCTTTTTAACAGGCAGGTGTGGACACCAAGAAGTGTGGGTCAGGGCTTGTGTCTCTGTTAGCTGCGAGTCTGAAGCCGAGATACCATTTTGCTGCCCTGCAGAAGATCTACTATGAAAGGCTTCCATACAGGTATGGAGAGTTTTGAGGAACAGTGGTGCCTCGCTTAACGATTGCCTCGTTTAGCGATGAATTCGCATAACAATGGGTTTTTAAAGAAAATAATATGCACCATTTAACGATGTTTCCTATGGGCGATTTTCGCTTAGCGAAGTTTGGGACCATGCTTCACATAGCGAATGCATTTTTAGGTCCCCTGCTTCACATAACGATGTTTGTTTTTTCATTTTTAAAAGTGTCTTAAAATGGTCAAAAACGGTTCTAAATGCTTGGATTCGTTAGAGCACCTTCTAAAACGGGTGCAGACTTAATTTGGCTTTGATCTGACTTTCGTTAATTTTTGCTGAATTTTTTTCTCCCCCATAGGAAACAATGGAGCTGTCAAAATTTGACAGCTCCATTGTTTCCTAAGGGGGAGAAAAAAATTAACAAAGAATTAACGAAAAGTCAGCAACTGTTTTAAATGCTTGGGTTCGTTAGAGGACCTTCTAAATCGTGTGCAAGCTAAGTTTGGCTTTGTTCTGAGTCTTCGTTAATTTTTTGTGAATTTGTTCCTCCCCCATAGGAAATAATGGAGCTGTCAAAAGTTGGTGGGGGAGAAAAAAATTCAGCAAAAATTAACGAAAAGATCAAAAGCCAAATTAAGTTTGCACCCGTTTTAGAAGGTGCAGAAGCTATTCCAAGCATTTAAAACCATTTTTGACCTTTTATGACACACTTAAATTTGCAAAAATTGACTTCGCTAAACAATTGAAATGTATTGAATAGGCTTCAATGCATTTCAATTGGGAAACCACGTTTCACTCAACGATGTTTCCTATGGCGATTTTCGCTTAAGGACGGCAATCCATTCCAATTGGAACGGATTAACCGGTTTTCAATGCATTCCTATGGGAAATGATGTTTCGCAGAACGATGGTTTCACACAGTGATGAATTTTTTGGAACCAATTAACATCGTTGTGCGAGGCACCACTGAACTGCCTTTTTAATGATGTACCATGAGCATCCTTGGAAGAGGTGGTCCCCGCCTCTCTTCCACAGGCAAGTTCTGTTCTTAGCCACTCACATGGACTCCAGGCTTCCTTTCAGGTGGGATGACAACCCAGAGTTCCAACGTTCCACATCTAATTCCTGCCTGTGCTTTGTTAGGGAGATCTCTTGTTTCCTATATCCTTGCTGCTTGTCCTCATCCTTAAGAAAAAGAAAAAAGATTTTACTCTTTCACTCTTACTATGCCCCAAACTTGGTTTCCCCTTCCCCCCCCTTTTTTTTTTTAATTTCTTCCTGTCTACCACTGGATAGCAGTCTTGGGCCAGGAGAGGGCAGCCAGGGCCTCTCAGTGAACTTTTACCAGTCCACAACACAACTAGGCACTGAGGTGTTCTGTGGGCTGGGGAACAGGGTGAGCGTGAACACCACAGATTCTGACTGACATGCCAGTGAGAGAGAGAGAGAGAGGATGAGCTGGGATCACCCCTGCGAGCCTCGGGACCCCCTCGGGGACTCCCAGGAGATGTGGCTTCAGGTGGCCTGAAGAAAAAGAGAACCTCTTCCTTCTTGGTTATACCTTATATGGTACGCCCCAGTTTTATTCCTGGACAAGTTGATGGTTCCTAGGACAGTGGCTACATCCAGCCTGCATCCACCCCTCTCCCCCATTTGCCTCTATGGACAATGAACTCGGCCTGGGATCCAGGAATCAAGAGAGGCTCCCCTCCTGTTCTACAGAGACTTCATCCAGTGGGGAGAAGGTCCTCAGAACCATGGATGAGGCTCCTCTACCGCGGAGAGAGAGGACGGGTCCCGCCAGGGCGATCGCTCTAACTTACTGTCACTTCTTTTTTAACTCTTGCATGCCACCTTGAACCCCTTCATTGTTAGGGAGGCAGGATAATTTGTTCATTTTGATGCATGCTTCCTTCCATCTAGTCACTTCCGAGTTGTGGCAATTCCACACATTAGAGGTCTCCGAAGGCTACTATCTAAAGAACAGTCATGTTTAGTGATATTTTACTGCATTCTGCCTGGGGGGGGGGGCGGAGTGACAAAATACTGACCTACAATGTCCCGACAAGAAAAGTCCTTCATGTTATCGTTATCTTAACTGTTCTGTGCATGTGGGATCCTACATCCCCCTCCCCAAAACTGACTGACAGCAGGTTTCTTGGGACAGTTGTCTGAGCTTCTCCTCAGAAACCCAGAATAATCTCTGTGGGATGGCTGGCGGCAGGGAGAGACCATTGCTTTGCTTGACTCCTCTGAGGTGTCTCTTACAGGAACCACGCTGTTCTCCAGGAAACCACACAACACGTTAGCCGATTCATCGCCTTGGCCAATGTGGGCAATGTGGACAAGAGGAAGGTAAGGAGAGGCTTTTGTGTTCCTTCTTTCAGATAGGATCTAGATGCAAGAGAGCATGGCTGGCCACAGACTGCTCTTAAGGTGCTTTCATTTCTCCTAAACAGCAAATTTAAGATGTGATGGATGTGTTGCAGAAGGAAGAAGGGAAAGCTACTTCCATTTTCAACACAAGCCTGCTTGCTACCTGCTTTCTCATTGGCATGCTTCACTAGAAAGTAAATTGCTGCCTTAAAGGCCCACTTTAACGCCAGCCACATTGACTTCCCTTTTTATTAAGTCTGTGTGGAAGAGTGTTTCTCCTAACTTTGCTAAGACTTGAATCGGTGTCTTGAAATGTGTCCCTCTGACTCAGTACCTCATGCAAGGAGGTTCCCACCCAGGGTGCCTTCAGCTGCCACATCTCACCTGCTTGGTGAGGTTCTCCATGTCTGTAACTTGCACCACTGACTGGCGAGGTGACCTCTCTGTCAGGAGGCTTTGCGTTCATCCGGTGCAGAGCTTTGCATTCTTCTGTCTGACAAGTTAAAGCTGCCTTACTCCTCCTGAGCTAAAGAAATGCATGAGAATAGCAGAGGAGGAAGAGTCGGTACTGCCGCCGCCCAAAACTAAAACATTTGATGGAAACCATTTCTTTTTTGGCCTCTTTCTTCCAGTATCTCTACGCCTTCACCATCCTTCCAATGGCTTCCATGGACCCCAAGGATCTGGTGAGGCAGCCAGCAGATGCCACAGAAAGCCCGTATCGAAGGCCAGTTGGAGGAGGAGGCGGGGGAGAGATCGGGGCCCTTCTGCAGCCCGACAAGAAGGTACTGCAAGCCAAGCTGTGTCCGTGTGCATCTTGTGTTGCCTGGACGCATCTTCTGCGTCGAGAGATCACTCCCTCGGGCCGGTTGTGCATAGTAGGCCTTAGGAGAGAGGCCACTCAAAATTCAGTCTGATTCCAGGCACAGGAAAAGAGGGGTCCCTTGCTGGACTTTGGGGAAGGAAAGAAAGGCCGTCTCTGTGAGGCGCCTGGCAGAGGGCAAGCCAGCTGTCAGGAAAAGCCATGGGGGGGCAGTGCTGAGTCACAGATACCACCACGGGTGCGCAAGGGAGACAGGAGCAGTGGGGCCACCCTGGAGTGGCCGTGTTCCTAACCTGGCCCATCTTCCCCCATTGAGGCTCTCTGCTGGTGATTCTGTGGAACCCCCTCCGCCCCCTTTTTACCATGAAGTGTAAATTAGGAGCAACAGGCGTATTCATAGAATCACAGCATAATGAAGTCGGTTGGGAGGAGCCTATAAGTCCCCCTTCAGTCCCCTGCCGAAGGCAGGAATACAGATCAAAGGAGAGCTGCCAGGTGGTTGTCTCTTGAATGCCTCCAGGGCTGAAGCAGTCACCACCTCTCCCGGTAATTGGTTCTACTGTCTCACTGCTCTTAACAGTTACCAGTTTTTTTCCTGATATTTAGTCGAAATCTGGCTTCCTGAAAATTGAGCCCATTGTTATGTGTCTTGCCCTCTGGGATGATCAAGAGCAGTTCCTGTCCCTCCTTATCATATCACCCCTCTGTCTTCTTTTCTCAAGGCTAAACATGCCCAATTCTTTCAGTCTTTCCTCACAGAGCTTAGTTTCCAGCCCCCAAATCATCCTTGTTGCCCACCTCTTGTAACTGTGTGTTTGGTTCCTTTTTCCTAGATGCAGGACTTGGCACCTATCCCAGTTGACTTTCATTCTGTTGTTTTCAGCCCAAAGCCCAAGACTGTCCAGATCATTTTGAATTTTGTTTCTGTCTTCCAGGGTGTTAGTTACTCCATCCGATATTGTGTCATCTACAAATTTGATTAGCATTCCCTGCACTCCCTGATACATGTCGTTAACCAAAAATATTGAAGAGCACTGGGTCAGGACTGAGCCCTGGGGTGTCCCACTTGTTACCTCCACCCATTTTGAGGAGAAGCTATTAATCCTCACCCTCTGAGTATGATTCTGTTGCCAACTGTGTATCCACCTGACACTTGATCTCTCCAGCCCACACCTAGTTAGCATGGGGCACTTTGTCAAAAGCTTTGCTGAAGTCTACAGCATTTCCTCTGTTTATCAGGGAGGTCACACAATCAAATAATGAGATCAGATTAGTCTGACAGGATTTGATCTTGACAAATCCGTGTTGGCTTCTAGTTACTCCTGCCTTGTTTTCAAGGTACTTGCACAATGACTGCTTTAAAATCTGTTCCAGAATTTTGCCTGGAATTGATGTCAGGCTGACTGGCCTGTAGTTCCCAGTTTCCTCTTTTTTTGCCCTTTTTGAAGGGGCATTAGCCCTCTTCCAGTCCTCTGGCACCTCATCCATTTCCCATGATTTCAAGAAAATAATGGGTAGCAGTTCTGAGAGTTCTTCAGTCAGTTCCTTCAATGCTCTCAGATGCAATTCATCCGGCCCTGGAGATCTAAACTTGTTCAAGGAAGTGAGGTATTCCTTGACTATTCTGTCCAAAATCAGGCTAAGGGGTTATAAGCTGTGCTACTGCCCAGTTAAAGAGACAGAAACTTCATCTGTGGTCAACTGAAATAATCTTGCTTTGTTCTAACAACACATCAAAGTGCCTGGATATGTTTATTTAAATCTAACCACCTGTATGTCATCCCACTAATCCTAACAAATTACATGGAACTCTGCTGGAATTGGGAAGAATTCCTAAAAGCAAGGAGATAAGAGGACGGCATGCAGTGTAGGAGAAGAAACAGTGGAAGGAGAGAAATTACAAGAAAAGGCAGAGAAGAAGGCAGTTTATGCCAAAAAAAAAACAACAGAGAGAGAGAGAATGCTTTGAGCATAGTTGCCAGGCTTGAAGAGTTTTCCTGGTTTTCTGACCTAAAAGTTGCCCTTTCCTCTCGGTCCACAGGATGAACCGACCTGCCAGTTTTTCTTTGATTTAAGCAGCAAGCCAAAAGGAAGGAAACGGCCTGGAGGTGAGAGCAGGGAACAGCAGCGGAAGCGGCCGAATCCCAAACCTCGTGAGTCCCAACTTGTTTCTTTTTCTAGTCCTGTGGAGGGGAGGAAAGTGCTTGGCTGAAGATTGGCAGATTCCGAGCGACAATTTTGGTGGTGGGTTGGGTCACCTTATTCCTTTAGGAGGCGGAATTATCCTGTGCCACATGCAGAAAATCCTGAGAATTTTCCCAAAGCCTCCCCCCCCCCGTGGAGACTTTCAGCTCTGCTTGGTTGCAGGC